AGTGGTGTGGTACNCACGCAGCCGGGAGCAGCAACAGCAGGCAGACGCGCTCAGCAAATACGAAGATGGATCACAGTGGATGCTGAACCCGACCGTCTACGCAAAGCTGTGGGAGCACCCCTGCGTTCACGGCCGCAGCCCGTCTCTGGACGTTTTCGCGGACGCGCACACCACGAAGGTGCCAGGTAGTTTCTTTGCGGCCAACTGGTGCCCGGGAGTCAAAGGAGTAGACGCTTTCGCCCAGGATTGGGGTTCTCCAAGGTGGGGACGCCTGGAAGGAGGGGAAACTGTTCGGCCCCTGCTGTACATTAACCCCCCGTTCAGTGCCGTGGCAAGAGTGCTGCGCAAGGTGGCGGAGGAGCGGCCCGATTGTGTATTGATCCTCCCGGTCTGGCCACGCGCATGGGTGGCTATCCTAAGGACGCTGCCCATCAGAGCGCAGATGACCCTGGCCCACAGGGAGCTCTTCATCCCTGGACCACAAGTGCCCAACGCCGCAAAAAGGGGCCCTATGACACCCCGATACCGGGTACAGGCTGTGTTTGTGCTATGGTAGGGGCAAGGAACGGAAGAGCTGGGGGACGGGAGGACCTAGGGTCAGCACCTGGGAAGTATGTGTGTGGGGGAGAGACCGCTCCGCGGTGTGTGTTGGGGCTGATCGGAGTTGTCTTTGAAGGGTTTGGGTACCCCGGGAGTGTGGTCGCAGACGCAATGGCCTTCCCCACAATAAGTTAGTAGTGAGTACGGATCACGCGATGACGTTTAAGCAATGCATGTTGATTAAGTGCTCGTCCTGTAGTGCAGTACGGCAAGTGCGGCGCGGGAAGGCGCAGACCAGAATGGGCCAGAGGACAGGGACTGATACGGTAGTTCGTTACAAAGTTTAGCTGGGAACAAAGCGCTGAATCCAGACAACGCAAGTTCGCCAGTCAACCATGCAAGCAAGCGCAAGTCAGAACCCGCCCACCCGCCCGTCGATGTGGTGGGGAGAGGGGAGGAAGACGAGCCACGATGCGAGCGCCAGGGCCAAGAGGGGCAGCACCAGCAGGAGGCGGAAGCTAGGATCTGGGACCGGAGCCGCGAGGGACACGAGTGGGCCGAGAGGCGTCGGTATAACGCTCCAGGACTTGAGCGCTGCGAATTTGGGAGAATGCGTGGAGCTCCGCGCG